GAGTGCCATGGAGTCAGATTTTTAATTCATGTCTGCACATTCACACGAAAGGTACAAAGAGTCATGAACTGAAGTCAGAGCCCTAACACATGAAAATGTGCATGCCTGTTTAATTATTACTGTCAGCAGATTAGACTCTCTCTTCTCTAGAAGAGCAGCAGCTGTTTATAAGCTATCATTATGTCAGATAATATTAGGCTTAATAAACACTTCCTTTGATAAACAGTCTGATGACATTTTCACATTGTATGAGAGTTTACTCGCTAGGTGTCCGAGTTCAACAATGTGAGATCTTGTTTAAGGAATGTTTCACTAACAGCTGCTAACAGATTTTAACAGCTGCTAACAGAGGCTAACAGCTGCTAACAGATTTTAACAGCTGCTAACAGAGGCTAACAGCTGCTAACAGAGGCTAACAGCAGAGCTTACTGACAGAAAAGTGAAGGAAATTTAGCTAACAAGGTAACAGTGGACAGCCTACCCAAAATAGCAAAAAGGTCCCAGAGTCACTTTGCTATCAGAGTACACTGACGATAGATTAACAGTGGCAAGAGTTTTTGAGGTGACTCAGGCATAACAGCATAGAATACCTAGCATAGAAGTATTTACCAACACATATCCACTTTTGAATTTCCTAATTTATTGGTAAGTGTTGATCAAATTCAAATATATTAAAAGAAATAATGACTATTAAAGAGGATTTTTTTTTCTTACACAAACAGTAGTAGAAACACGCTGGCAGGCCACGGCTATTATGGCATACAGCCTAGATTTAATGTTTTTGATCTCTCTTGGCTGACTAAAACATGTCTGCCCTACAGTAGCTGTCCTAGCTAGGATTATGCACTTCAATTGGGATAATTAAAAAAAACTGAATTCAGTTGACTGCAACCCACTGACATCTATGGGGTGAAATTTTACACACTGTACCTTTAAGAACTGTTTTTTGGTTTTTGGATCACTGTGTCCTGATTGGACATGCAGCACTATATTACTGACTTTTGAAATTCATGATTTCAGTGTAAGTTTTAGAATCACTGAATCCTTTGTTTAAGCTGCCTTTTGTCTTGAAAACAGAGATTAAAAAACAAACGTATTAAAATGTCCTTCCAGGAACGCCTTGAATGTGGTGAATAAAGACTTGATTCAGAAAGTCGACGAACTGACAAGTGAGAAGGAGATGTTGGAGGGAGATCTGGAGGCTTTGCTGCAGGCAAAATCCAAGCTGGAGGAAAAGAACAAAGAGCTGGAGGAGGAACTCAAAAAGTAAGAGCTATGAGAGGAATCTGTGATGTTTAGTTTCTGTGTTTAGTCACAAGGACGATGAAGCACGCTGCTGCAGGTAATTCACTGTCGGTCGCAAAGTATAAATCCTCGCTGACACACTTTACTACTGTGCTATTGGAGCTAAGTAGCAGGAGTCTCTGCTTGGCGAGTGCCTAATGGTATCTCTCCAAATAGAAACTCTGGCTACGCCCATTTCCTATAGACATTTGTGTAAAAACTTATATTTTCCAGAGTACGCCTGGAGATGGAGGAAGCAAAACATAAAGCTAACGAAGAAGAAGAGGTGAGTCCTGTATCCTGTGTCTGTTGTGTGGCTCATTTATTTGGTAGAATTCATGCATTTCTGTGTGGTCATGTTTGGGTTTAATTGTGTGCCGGTACAGAGTGATTTACCTACGGCTCAGAAGAAGCGTTTCACCAGAGTGGAGATGGCCCGAGTGCTGATGGAGAGGAACCAGTACAAAGAGCGACTTATGGAGCTGCAGGAAGCTGTGCGGTGGACTGAGATGATCAGGTGATGAAGCAATGAGTGGTGGATGGATGGAGCAAAGTGCATTTGATGTTTTGTTAGGGTTATAACTTTGTGTTATACATCTAAAAAAAACATATATCAACATATCCGGACACATAAACTAAAGATTGTTAAAGATTGTCGTCTTCTCTTCTTTAGGGCTTCAAGGGAAAATCCAACTATCTCAGAAAAAAAGAAATCCAGCATCTGGCAGTTGTGAGTCTTTTTGGATTTACTGCATTATTTACTGTTTGTCTTTTAGTTTTGATAGGGCTGCCACGTTGCCTTCCAAGTTGAATCCTGACTTTTTTTGTCATTCAAATATTCAAATACATCTTTTTTCTTATCTTTTCCGGGATGTGCCATTGAATTGGCAGCATTAGGTAAAGATGATTTGACAGACCTCCCCACTAAACCTCTCTCCTACCCTACCCCCGTTTAACACAGAAGTGCTCCTCCATTCTGAAAGGATCCAACTTTGATGTGTCTTTATCCATAATCTTTGCTCTCAGTGCAGTGCATCAGTTGTTGTTATCACAAACTGCTCAGATGTTACTCTCCTTTTGCCCCCGGGCTTTCCTGTCTCCTGCCTGCTGTGTGCCTTTTGATGTTTTCCTTACTCTGTCTGCTCATAGCGAGCAAAGGGAAACTACATATACGAGTATATGTACATGTTGTGTTGCTTATGTCTACCACGTCAGACTGCACATGCAAGTCAGTAGATTTGATTTCTATTATTGAGGAATTTTAATATCTAAATTGCCGTCCTTAGCCTTGGTAAGCTCACCTCTGTGGCTTTTGTGTTTTCTGAGTTTTTAATTTTAACATATTCTCAAAAATCAGAAAGAAAAATCAAAAAGCAGTACGATATCGTTCTGCAGTAATAAAACAGGCTTTAAGCATGTATCAAACTTTGTCTTATATATTGTAAAAATTCACACTCACTGGCCACTTTATTAGGTATACCCTACTAGTATCGATTTGGACCACTTTTTGCCTTCAGATCCAACAAGATTGTGTCAATGCTTCAGCAGCCTGAAGCATTGATACAAGGCAGGATGGCTTTGTGCTTTCATGGTGTTTAGCCAAATTGTGACCCTACTATCTAAATATAGCAGCACAGCTCGAGACATCAGACCAGGCAACTTTTTTCCAGTATTTCATTGTCCAGTTTTGTTGAGCCTTTCCTGTTTTTCACTGACAGAGGTGGTACCCGATGTGGTTTCTGCTGCTGCTGTTGTTGCCTATCTGCTTCAAGGTTGAACATCTTGTGCATTCACAGATGCTCTTCTGCATACCTCGGTTATAATGAGTTGTTATTTGAGTTCACCATAGAAATGGTTGTTGGGAAAATTTCAGTAGATCAGCAGTTTCTCAAATACTCAGACCAACTTGTGTGACACCAACAACCACAACAGCCACATTCACAGTCACTTGAAATACTTTCTTCTGCATTCTGATGCTCAGTTTGAAGTTCAGCGGGTCATCTTGACCACATCTACATGCCTAAATGCACTGACCTGCTGCGATGTGATTGGCTGATTAGATGGTTTTGTTTACAAGCAGTTGAACAGACATGCCTTATAAAGTAGCTGGTGAGTGTATATTAGTTAAAGTTTTAGTTAGATATAATAGGGGAGTGCTTAGCTCTACTTTGACTCCCAGCATGCTTTATGTCACTGTACAGTAAATGTTGGTGGTAGTTCCTTGATTGTCTGGTTTGTTGGTGACACCCCTGCCTTGCTCTTTCCCTGCGCTCCTGTCGGCTCTGTTTCCCTCTTGGCTTTCTGTAACTTCGCCACGTGCAGCTTCAGCAGACTGTTTAGCTCCTCCTCCAGTGCCCCTGCCGTAAAGTTTGAATCCCAGTCCAATACGAAGTACAGCACTCCGGGCAGCACGGTGAAGAGGAGCAGCACTTTCTCCCAGTTCCCCACGGAGAAGTCCAAGACATTTGACTTCCTCAATGAAGAGTAAGTAATGAGGACGTTTGACTTTGAGTTCTGTGGATTTTACCAAGTTGGAAATTCATTAATGCACCTGTCTATAAAATGCATTATCAGCTGATGGCTTTGTGTCTCTCGTGGTTCTCCCTTTAGTAAGGAACAGTGCAGTTCTCCATCACGTAAAGAGCAGAAGAGAAGCCAGTACAGACAGGTCAAGGCTCACGTGCAGAAGGAGGACGGACGAGTCACTGCGCATGGCTGGAGCCTGCCCAGCAAATACAAGGTGGGAAATGAAAAAATTGCTTTGCATTAGGTCAGAGATGCGATCGGCACTTTTTATTTTGCTTTGTTCGCTTTAGAAGAAGAAATCGTTTATTTTAAATGGCCAGCATATCCTGTGCAGCATAATAAGGTGTATCCTTTGTCTGTTCCAGCCCTGTGTTCATGTTCACCTGAGAAAATTTAAAAGTAGTGGTTTTAAAAGTCTTAAAATAAACTTTATTTACAATATTTAAGTTTTGACTGTTCTACCATCACAGGTAGCAAACGGTGGACAAGTGGAAAACAAAATGAACTTACCTGTGCCGGTTTACTTGAGACCTCTGGACCAGAAAGATGCTTCTATGAAGGTGCTTAAATGAATGAATAGACAACTCTAAGCATACATGCAGGATATTGTTGTTATATTTTAACATTTTGATGTTTCTAACAAGCTCTTTCTGTCCCACAGCTGTGGTGCGCTGCCGGGGTCAACCTGTCCGGGGGTCGGGCATTTTCCTCATCAGAGCTTTCTAAGCAGACAAAGGGTTCTCAGAGCAGCTTGGATCAGCTGGAGCAGGAGAGTAAGGTGAGTAGTTTAAGGAAGGAAGAAGCTCTTGTGACTTCTGATAGTTCTTTATGTTTTATGCTTTGAGTCGATTCGCTAATGTGTTACGTTGCTGTAAGGATCGGGAAAAAGGGGAGAAAGAGAAGGAGCTGATTGTTCAGGACGAGATGTCCAGTCGTGTGTGGGTGTGCACTAGCACCCACTCCTCCACCAAGGTTATGGTTCTGGATGCCACTCAGCCCTCTGACCTGCTCGACAGCTTCTACGCCTGCAACACTCACATTGTCTGCATCGCCAGTGTGCCAGGTAGGTCCAGTGGTCACGCTTTGTGTTTGTTGGGGTAAAAATAGTTTTTCTTACTGGGTCATTTGTGGTGTTTTGTCAGGTGTGTTGGAAACTGATTATCCAGCAGGTGAAGCTGTACCCCAAGACCTGGAGTCCAGCCAAGGGGATGCGGCGTCACTGGCTGGCAGCGTGGCCAGTGTAGGCTCAGCAGGCAGCGATAGCGCCTCGGCAGCCGAGGGCACCACTGCCATTCCCCAGACAGCTAGTGCAGGTGTTGCCGACCAGCCGGCTGAGCACAGCGCCACCTCAGCCTCTGGTAGTTCTCTACTAAAAAAAATGTTTAGATAGAGTACAGTATGTGTGGTTTGACAGCTGTGCTGTGCTGTGATCCACAGCTCCCACTGTTGAGTTGTCCAGAGAGACCAGTCCAGCAGAAGATGGGGTTCCCACAGCGGAAGAGGCAACAGAAGCAACGGAGGCTAATGCTGGCGTGGGCGAAGAAGGAGAGGAAGATCAGGGGGCTGACCAAAACCAGCCAGGAATCTACACGGAGCACGTGTTCACCGACCCACTCGGGGTGGAACCCACTGACTCCTTAGTTGCTGAATCACAGAGGTGAGAGTGAATATTGGTAGATGCTTTAGTCAATTCTTAAGATTTTTAAGGCATATATGACAATTGCAAATTTAAAATCTTGAAATGTATGAACCCTAGAAGAATTATGTCCACACATTAATTTACACACCTTTAAAATAAAACAGCCTAAACTTGCTGTTGCAAAATAAAAGCACTGGTATTTTTAGCTTGCAGAGGAAACCATAAGAGCAGCTGTGGAAACTCGGCTGCACGTGTTTACTCCATGTTTTCTTAATGAACGGTGTATTTGAAGGACTGTTTTCCATTATCCAGGGGATCCAGACAGGATGGGGTGACTTCTCTGGCAGAAGACTCGGACCCATCAGAGATTGAGGTCCTGAGGATGAGCAGTGCACTTCCCACCATGTGGCTCGGTGCTCAGAATGGGTGGTAAGTGAGGCAGCAGCCACTAGAGGGAGCTATTAGTTCAGGGGAAAAAGGAGGAGAAAATTTGATGAGGTTGTAACTTCATGGAGAAAATTTGCTTTTGGTTATCATGCTGATTTTGGTGTTTATTTATTTATCAGCGGCTGTGTTTTTGTCATAGTGTTTAATCATTTGGATACATTTTCATGTCTTTATTTAGTTGATAATCAGGAGTTTTCCTCTGCTCGACTTTCCTGTCTTTAGTCTGTACGTCCACTCGTCTGTGGCTCGGTGGAGGAAATGTCTTCATGCCATCAAACTGAAAGACTCGATCCTCAGCATAGTGTGAGTAAAAAGTTGGTTGTGTTTTTATTTAAGGACTTGCACACACATAACAAATGAACATTTAAAAATAGACTAATAAACATACTTTTAAAAGTGTCTTCATAACCTGTTGCAGGCATGTTAAAGGGAGGGTCCTGGTAGCACTGGCTGATGGGACATTAGCAATTTTCCACAGAGGCATTGGTAAGTCTGTAACTTAGACTGCTTGCAGTCGGTCTCCGACAGCAAAAAGTCCGGTTCATCAGCAGCCAACCAGTGGTTTTTACTAGTCACAGGGTGGTTGCCGTCTTATTTTCACTGTAGTGTGACTGAGCCACGACTAATTTTATGCCACAAATTGCCAAAGTCTTCTTGTTTCTTCCAAGCAGACGGACAGTGGGATCTAACCAACTACCATCTGCTGGATCTGGGCCGGCCCCACCACTCTATCCGCTGTATGACCGTAGTCCACGATAAGGTTTGGTGCGGCTACAGAAATAAGATCTACGTCATCCAGCCAAAGGCCATGAGGATAGAGGTACAGCTGTCATTGAAAGTTAATAAACCATATGTTGTGCAAGTTATTTTTCTGTTCCAGTCAACTTCAACCAATTAAACCTTATTGTTGTCATGGGAACATCCCAATTTACTTCTAACATTACGCAATTGCAATCTATCGCACCCTTGCAGAAATCCTTTGACGCTCATCCTCGGAAGGAGAGCCAGGTACGGCAGCTGGCCTGGGTTGGAGATGGCATCTGGGTGTCCATCCGACTGGATTCAACTCTACGCTTGTTTCACGCCCACACCTACCAGCACCTCCAGGATGTGGACATTGAGCCCTATGTCAGCAAGATGCTGGGTATACAAACTGTTTGTTGCCTAGCAGTTAATCAGCACTTTCATAAATCATCTCAACAGACTTCTGGTTTTATGCTCACTCATTTATAGGAAATAAAAAAAAATAAAATAAAAAAAAGGAAATAATCCCTAGATAGAGTTGCTGTATGGCAACATACATGTAGAATTCAGCGCTTACTTTCTGTACACACACGTAGTAGAGTGATATTTTGAACAGTTTAGGAGGTCGCAACGTTTCTTCTTCAGATCTTGGATCGAACATCTTCTGTGTGTGTTGCAGGTACAGGTAAATTGGGTTTCTCATTTGTGAGAATCACCGCTCTCGTCGTATCCTGCAACCGACTGTGGGTGGGTACAGGAAATGGCGTAATCATCTCCATCCCGCTCTCTGAAGGTACAGCACAATCTCATCAGCTGCCTGCTTAAATGTCCACTTTTGTTTCATAAAGCAATGCATCATCAAAATGTTCTTTTAGCAGTGTTTATTCACTGAACTCAACTCATTACTGCATTAGGAATAAATACATACTGTTAGCTTTTATGCTCTATTTGCATTGCAGAACATTAGTTTCATCATTTTAAAGTGTCCAAGTCTTTATGATTTAAATATTCTGTGGGAAAACTGAGATGTTGTGAGGTTAAACTGTTTATTTTTGAGTATTCCTGAGTACAAATATATTCATATTTGGCATATGGTTGAATTGAAGCATGCTATTAGTTACGTAAATGCGCGGCGTGTTCTTAATATCAAATCCCTCACTGCTGCCTCCACCGTCTCCTTTTATTCTTCTTTCATATTTCAACTCATCTCCCAGATGGCCATTCTGATGCCTCAGGGACCGTCATTGTGTAGCATCACCTTCTCTCTTAAAATCCATAAATCCTCTGTCTCTTCTCGCTGCGTATCTGTGCTGTAAAAGACAGTGGCATTGCCATGGATACAAGTCTCACATAGCTTACATAGTGCAGTTTGATGGGTTTATGCTTCAAAGCTGGGCTCTCAGTAGATATTGAGGAGTGCTGCTCTCTTTAAATATTAAAACTTTTCCAAGGGTGTACCTGCGTTTCCTGTCACCATCTTCTTTCTTTTATATCAGTGTCTGTGTGTAGGCTGTGCAGTTCTCTGTGTTTTTATAATCAGGGTCTGTTCTTATGTCTGCTTTAACCTCTAACTTTAGGTTTTACTTAGAGGTCAGAGAATAAAGCGTTCTTCCAGAATTTAGCAGACAGGCTCCTCTGCGCTCTGACTAGCTTGATCTATATACAGTTCGACTGCCTGTGTCACAGACTGGTTTCAGACCAGGCCATAACTGCGATAACTGGTTTTTGCAGATAATCCTAGCTTCTTTCTTTTGGCTCCCTGTATGTTCAGACCTGATTTTATTATTTTGATTATCACCTTTAAAGCACATCTGGGTCTGGCCCCACGCTACATAGCAGAAATATGAGCCCTTTGACCTTGGAATAACTGGTGTGAGGATTTATTTAAATCCCTTCTTAAATACACTTCTGCCGACTTCCTTTCTGTGATATTGTATCTACATAGTTTTTCTGGTATTAATTGTTGTAACTACTTTTATCTTTTGGTAGTTTGTCTTGCATTTTTCTTTTTTTGATTGGCGTTTTACCTGTTTCCTAACTTCACCTGTTTTTGTTTGACCTCGTTTGTTTTTCGGTTTTCATTTACCTTCTAAATTTCCTGCTTTCGTTTATCCATGAAAGCACTTTTTTCAAAGAAGCACATAAAGTGGGCAGATGACACTTTACTGTATTCTTCAGCTAACAGAACAACAGGAACAGTGCCAAATCGCCCGGGCAGTGCTGTACGGGTCTACGGTGATGACAGCTCTGTGACAGACTGTGCAATGCCAGGCAGCTTTGTGCCATACTGCTCCATGGCTCACGCCCAACTATGTTTCCACGGACACCGGGATGCTGTCAAGTTTTTTGTGACAGTGCCAGGTAAGAGACAAGTGCAGAGAATCTGTGGGAACATATTAGGTAATGTTAGCCATTATCAAAGGAAAATTAGCAGCCATGTTGAAGTTGATGTGAAGTTTTCTATGATTGTAAAGAGAATATGAGTGTGAGTGTTTGTTGAACTAAAGAGCGCAGTTGAATCAGTGATATGAATTGTACGATCTAGTTTGTCATAGATTAAATAAACAAATCATTAAATGAGAATGTAATCGGCAGCTAAAGTAACAAGAGAATGAAAGAGTCCCTAAAACACTATGTTTTGTTCTCAGTTTCTTCGTACTTTAAATTAACTGTCACAGGTCAGGCGATGCCACCTCCAGGTGGTGCAGATTCAGGCTCTGATGACCCTGCATCCGAATCCTCTGACACAGCAACTTCTGAGACCAAAACCTACCTGGTCATGAGTGGAGGGGAAGGCTACATTGACTTCAGGATGGGTGGGTGTAACACACTCCATGTACAAGTGTGTATTTATACACAGCAGAGGTTTTTATTCTGAAAAGAAACAGCTGTTTACTAGACTTTTTGGAGTAAAAGGCTTGAATGTGTCCCTTCTGGTATGATGTTTGCTTTAGGCCTTAATCACACAGGCTTAAAGACTGGTTGGCAAACCTCTGGCAACCTCAAGTCCCCAGGAAAAATGTATGATCTCTGTTAGGCAAGTGGTTGCTGGAGGTTGAAGGCTGTCGCCATGTGAAATTGATCTCAAAGCGGGTGCTGAATAAAAAATTTCTTTATGATTGCGATGGTCGCTAGCAGATTGCAGCAGTTACTTAAAGTGCTAAAGCATTAAAACAAAAAGTTTTACGTTTTGAAAAGACAAGTAAACAATAAATTACACTAATCCAGACATGAAGAAAAAATGGCATGAATAATAATTTTCCAATTTAGAGCGGGGCACCGTGGAACTCAACAATATTTCTGGAGTGATTTAAGAAAGAGTGAACCAGAGATTCAAAATGAGCATGAGCATTTGTGTAAGATTTATATCTTAGAAATAAGTTGTGCTTAAAAAACATATACAGCCAAATGTCATCTGCATAGCAGTAAGAAGAAATGCTCAGGAAGTTCTCAAAATGTGTTAAACACAAAGCAAATATTACAGAAACATTAAGGGCCCCAAAACTGAACCTTGTGGTACACCGTAAGCAAGAGAAGTGGAAGAGAACCTGACAGACATGATGAGAATCACTTCTTTTTATTCTGTAGAAACTGTGATGCAAATTAAAAATGGACAACGTTTCCCTTTGAAGTCAAAATTATGCCAGGCTGCTTAAACCAACACATTTCAAAAGTTCCAAATGTCTCCGGTTCTGGTTTGTGTTGCACTTTTTACAGTTTCACCTCCACTTGGTGAGTAGTTTGTGGACAACTCAGCTTTTTACATGGAAACTACTGGCAACCATGGTGATCTTTTAGCAATCAAACCAGTGACAATGAGATTTTCTCTACAGCAGCATACAACTCTTTGTAAACAATTTCACACTAGCAACTTCAAGTAACCTCTAACAGCCAGTCAGCAACTGTTTCTTTCATCCAGCAACCCCCTTTACCCTCGGGTCCCTGACCACTTTCTAGACCTGTACAAGTGTGGCTTTTGCAATTGATTCCACAACTACATCCAGCAACCTTACTCATTATCTTCTCCACAGGTGATGAAGTAGGCGAGTTGGATGGTTTATCCGAATCGACAGCCAGCCTGCAGTCGGCGCCTGCCAAGAACGAGCGGAGTCACCTCATCGTCTGGCAGGTCACGACTTCTCACGATTGAAAAACTTCATAGACTCTTGTGTTTATGCCAGGGGTGCCCACCAACCCCTGCATGCCATTCTGGAAGTTTTTAATTTGTTCTTAATACCTGAGTAGTTTACTACTTTGTAAAGAAATCAAAAAGAAAACAAACAAAGAAAAAAAAACAATTATTTTTAGTCCATGTTTTGTAAATTTTATTGTTTATGAATCTGAAATAGGTAAAATGAAGTATATGTTAACTTTAAGAATACGTCCAGGCGTTCCCTTCTGCATGCTGAAGAAGCTGGTGCACACACAGGGGACAGGGGAAAGGCTACCTTTTAGCACATCGTGTGGGATGGGCAGTTTGATCAGGTAATTGTCTGTTGCTTTGTATCTCAAACGTTAAAAAGGCTTTCGTTGTAAACAAAAAAAAGGGACTTACCTGAAGTTGAAGTCATCTAAATAAAGAGCAGGCGGTTTTGAGTTAAACTGAAGTATATTTTATAGTAATCAGACTATAGCACTACATGTGTTAACCAGCACCGACGTCTTTCCTGTGTTGAACATTTTAAGACCTGAGCATCAAAAACCTGCAAGTTATAAACGTATAAAAAGGTATCGAATTTCTTGTCACCGGCGATATCAGGCTGATTACTCGACTGTATTGTTTGTTTGGTATTAGAGACATAGCTTGCAGCAAGTGGTGCACATTAAACACACTGTTGCATATTTAAATGTGCTTTTATGCAGGAAAAGCTGTAGGCTACAACATTGTTTGGGAGTTCGAATGTCCCACCAGTTGCAACAGGCTGATGTTTTGTTCTATGAATCATGTCTAAGCACTTTGGGTACTTCAAGGTTTCCTGTGGTTAGAAGAACTAGTTTACTGTAGGTTAGCAGTAGCCTGCATGAAGAAACCCCTCGTGCCGTAGGTGAGGAAAATCTTCCTGTGCCGCCAGCTCAGTGCTTCCTGTTTGCTTCAGCTCGTCGGCACTTTAAATTGTTAGATGTTAGTCGCTTTGGAGGAAAACTGCTGTGTCCTGTTTGTATGAAGGGAACAAAATGTACAAATATTTTTTAGGAAGATGGTCCCAGTAACCAAAGGATGTACGAAGAAGTATCTCAAAACTATTTCATTTGTAACTCAAATATTTGGGAGCGCGTGCGCGCATATATTCAGGATTTAAGCTCGAATGATGCAAATTTAACTAACAGCAACATTTCTGTGTGGCACCTTGAATCGGACGGCACTAAAGAGAGACTCTCCTGATTGCTTCATCATTCCATGTTTCATTGTTACACACACAGATTTCAGGCCTATAAGGCACATTTTCTTTATTTTTTTGTTGTTATTTTGGGCATTGTGTGTGTTTTGTATCCATTTGTGAGACACTTTGATTAAGAGATGAGTATTTTGATGATTTGACTGTAACCTGACAGCAGGATACCAACATTAAGAAGATGTTGTAATTTGTTTTTATATGTGAAGCCTTGGTCTTCAGTCCATTTCAAAACAGTAACTTTATATTGTGTTTTTGCCATTCCAGTATTTATTTCCTTTGCTATCGAGCCTATCTTGGTTCAGAATGTAACTTTCTACACGGGCAGAGTATCATAGGCGGCTATTGTGAACAGAATAGTCTAACGAGTTTACATGATTGTTAATAATGGTTAAATAAAATGGATTAATGTCATTATGTTGGAAATTTTTCACAAACCATGAGATCAAATTGTGCAGAGAAAAACTTTCATTCATGTACTAAGCTATGCATGTTTTTTTAGAGAACACTGCTATATTATCGGCTAAATCTCAGTATATTGCCACCGTTTTGGGTGGGGTGGATGTCAGTGTATGTATGTGCGTGTTTTGTGTTTAGAGTACACATGTACACTTAGGAGTGTCTGCCAGTGTGTGTTTGATTTTCCAAGTGTGTGGTGTGTGTCTGCTTAGTGTATGTTCATCCTTAAAAACAAAACCCAGAGGCTGGTCCCATTTATTTCTCTGGGCGCCATAAATGGTGGTCAATGTTTGCTAAAACAGTATCATAGCCTTATTTTTAACAATCTATTAAACTCAGTTTCATGGATAATGTGCTGGTATTGGTGTCTGTGTTTTTCCCCAGTGGGAGGCATCATGTTGCGTTTATAAAAAAGCAACATGATGTGACCTGTTGGTTACTGAGGTCCACTGTAAAAACCTCAAGCTGAGTAATTTCACTGTTTCTGTGATGAAACCAGATGTGTGAGGAGCACATGTGTCTGACAGAGAAACCAAAGGACACTGTACACTCATGAGAGGAGTGATTTTCAATCACAAAATCAGCCTTCCTTAAAAAACCCCACATTTTTCAGTCTGATGGGAGCTTTGCGCTCATTGGCAACTTCATGGGTCTAATCAACCAATCACGTTGCAGGAACACATTACAGGATGTTCTGACGTTTAAACTCAGCATAAGAATGATGTTACGGCCCGTCTAGACGCAACCAGACCACAACATAAAGGGTGATCCATCCCCGTCCAACCCCGAGCAGCACGTCACACAATGAATACTTTGTGACAGCAAATACAACTTACCTAGTCAAAAGAACTAAACCAAACAACAATTACTTCCCTCCCTACCTAACAAAAACAGGAGAAAACTAATCAAACAAAAAGGCGGTCCACGCCTACATGCTCCTACATTAAACCAACATAGTAAAACAGTGAACACACGGTCGGGGTTGGGCCGAGGATGAATTAACTGGCAGTCCCTGGAGGTGTCTTCTTATGCGCTGCCTCCCGGTCGTTAGCCAATCGGTAGGATCCATCCACCCTGGATGCACCAATCATGGAGGAGCACCTGCACACTCAAATTTACATATTATAAATACGACAACAGTCGTAACAATGAGGAAGAAAGGTGATTTAATTCATTTTAAACAAAACATAGTTGTTGGTGGTAGACAGGTTGGTCTGATCGTTTCAGAAACTGTTAATCCGCTTGGGCTTGGCCTCACAACCATCTCTAGAGTTTATAGAGAATGTGCAAAATAGAGATTTCTGGCGAGCTGTGGTTCTTTTGACAAAAATGCCTTGTTGATATCAGAGGAGAATGGCCAGAATGCTTCAAATAACAAGAGTAATTCAAATAGCCTCTCATTACAAGCAATGTATGCAGAAGAGCATCTTTGAAAGGAAAAAAAGAGGAACCTTGAAGCAGATGGTCTACAGTAGCAGGAGACCAGACCAGCTGTTATCAGCAGAGCTGGAAACTGAGGCTACAACTTACAGGGAATCATCAAAAATGGACAACAGAAGATGGAAAAAATGTTGCTTGGTCAGCTGAGTCTCGATTTCTGCTGCATCATTCAGATGGCAATTTCAGAAATCTTTGTAAAGCACATGAAAGCATGGATTAATTTTGTGTCCCCGTGATTCAGGCTGCTGGCGTAATGGTGCGGGCAATATTTTCCTGTTCTCTTTTTTATCAGCTGAGCATCTTTTGAATGTCACCGCCTGACTGTGTCAGACCCTTATGATTTCTGGATGCTTCCGGTTGGATAATGCGTAATCGCAAAGCATTATTCTGAACATAGCAATGAGTTTACTATTCAGTACTCAAATGGTCTCCACAGTCCAATCCAGTAAAGAAACTTTGGGATGTGGCGGCCCATTCCATGATCCTATCATGTCAATATGAACCAGAATCACAGCAATGTTTCCAGCGCCTAGTTGAATCTATTCGACAGACAATGCAGTTCTGAAGGTAAAAAAAAAAGGGGGTCCAACCCAGTACAAGCAAAGTGCCTGATTTGACCTCCCAATAAAGTGAATGTACACAACAAAAAGAAGTTGATTTTGTATTTGGTAAGATTTGATATTAGCAATAAAGCTCATAAAAGTATGAGCAAAGTGACTTTTAGACTTGCTCCAACAGGCAGTTGGCAGTTGGTAAAAGAGAAACTGCTTGTGTGTTTAAGGCACGTCTGAATTTGCTAACGCTTACGGGTAAAGTACCACACCCGCACAGTCCTGATGAAGCATACCAGTTTAACAGAAATAATTAATGAGTATTACCTTTAGGTGTTTTTGTGGTTTGTTTTAGGGTTGGAAAATTTGACAGCAGCATTTAAAAACAAACAAACAGTTTAACACTGTGATTTGAACAGACTTCAGATGTAAATCTTTCACCGTTGTTTTCCCCTTTCTGTCCTTTACTAATATCCTTTTATGCCCTCTGCAGAAATGAATACGTAAAAGTCACCCCATGACTAAAGAAACACATCATTGAGGTCAACATCTGTGTAGAATGAAAGATAATCAGGTTTTTTCAGTTATATTTGACCTTTTAACACAACTGAAATGTAAATCTTTGAAATATATGACTTCTGCTGCCACCAGATGGTGCTGTATGTTTAATTCTAAAACGGACTGATGCATCACCTCAGTTTAACATTAATCGTAATGTCATTTGAAAACATGGCACCCTCTTTAAACGGCACCATGGTGCAGCTCCATGATTGTTATGATGGGTGGACTTGTGCGAGCATGCTAACACATCCAGGTTAGGCACACAGGTTAGGTTAACCGGCACACAGGTGTGACTACAAGTCTCTTTGCATCCCTTCACTGACCTTTCCAAAAATGTACTTTGCGTCAGATGAGCACACACCACCTCAATAATAAGCTGAGAAAGACCATGCTCGAACCTTCCACCAGCCTTCCTGTGGTTCATGTAAATGTTGCATGTGATTTTATGGTCATACATATCAACTAGCATAATGAAAAACAAACAAACCGTGAGCTCAATTGTTCTCTTACCCGGCCAGTAGGGGGCCTTGGTGTTCACATCTCCTGTAAGATGCAGCATCACCACATAACAACTTCCATGAAATTACATCACAACATAAAGCCCACCTCCCACCTCCGTCTTTCCCATCCTCCCTCCTTTTTTCCACCCCCCTTCTCCTCGTAAGCCATGCGGGGGCTGGCATCGAGGGCCGCGCGTACATACAAAGAGGTTTCTGACGTCAGTGGGTTGCAGCCCAGACAGGGGATTCTGAGGATGTAACACGCCAGGCTGCTGCTGCTGCATTACAGCTGAGATGCTGATAAAAAAGGCACTGATCCCAACTTTGTGGTAAAAAAAAGTCAAAATGCCGTGTACACAATTTCAGGATTGCAAAACAGACTCATGATTTAATATCCGAGTAATTTATGCATCAAAACATGAAAATACACAAAGCACTTTCATCATTGTTATCAACAATGTTCAGACCGAGCAGCGGTGCAGGAACAGCCTGCAGGTAAAAGCTTTGCTAAAAATGTGAGGCACTTAAGGGATTTCAATCCTGTTTGGGGATTTTCCTTCACTTAGCAGGGATGAAAGTGAGATGTCGGTTGTTGTGCTCTCTCGGCTCATTGTTTATGGTGTAGCTCGGGTAGAACACAGATTACAGTAAAGTGAACCCAGCGCCCCTCGGTATGCTAAAACAGGGACCGACTGATATGTAACATCTCCATCTGCCTGCTCTGCTTCATGAAAATCAATCCTTGAGTTGAGTCAAGGTTGAATCTTTTGAAGTGCTTTGTTTGCAGTTAGTTACAGGGATGAGTAACACTATACAGTGAAGATATCTGCAGGGGTTCACACATGGAAAAGTACTCATCATTTCTTTATAATAACTACAGATTGTACATTGAATAATGAAACAACTATAGCATTTTAATCATGATCCATATGAGTTAATGTTGTTCTTGTCAAGTCTGCAAGTGGGGGCTAAACAACTGAGCAGTGACGGCAGTGAACGTATATGTCTGTAAGTGTTGATATTATGATTAAGTAAGAATAATTGCTTCATGATTTCATGCTTTTATCTGCAGTCCTGCAGACCTGACCGAGAAATCATGAATATGATTAACAGCTCATGAATCATGATGACTGAAAAAAAGTCATTTATGTGTGGTGTCTGGCCATATTATTTAAAGGTCTTCTATTCTGAAGAAACTGAATTCTTTTCAAACAGTAATTAAATCCCTAGAATGAAAACATTTCTCTAACCGAGCGCATCAACAGTTATGGCGGCTGGTCTTCCTGTTTAAATCAGAATACAAAACCTGCATTAATTAGATGAAAACTGAAAGCTGTTATGTTATAACACCTGACAAGAGAAACAAAACAAGAATACATAATTTTCATTCATAGGACAGTAAAACATGAAATAACCTGATAAAATTCATTACAAATACAATAAACACGCAAGGAAAACCTGCAGCCATCATCCCCTTATGTCTGCAAGGTCATTCAGCCTTCAGCTACACCGGCCAGCCTAAAAGCTCTGGCTTGCTCGAAATGTCTAAGGTCTAACTGTCTAAATGCCTAAATACCTCTTCCTTGTCCTGACTGAGAGGAACAAAAGGACTTCCTGTTTCCTGTCCAGGCATTTGTAGTTTTTGTCCCACTTCAGCTGTTGTCTACTACAACCAGGCAAGATGCTCAAAACATGTCACATCATTAATTCTTAAAAAAACAACTAATTTTCTACCAGTACATTTTCCATTTGTTTTGTTTGTTTGTTTGTTGGTTTGTTTTTTAAAATGCATTTCCCTAAATGGTATATGGCAAAAAACCAAACCAATCTGTGGTTTAACAGTACAGGGAAAAACATGCAAAAAACATAAAAACAAGCAAAAGTTGTTTTTTTTTTTAAATGTATGGCCAAGTTTCCAGAAATAGAAAAAGTCAACGTGTGTTTAAAAATATTTTCACTAAGGGGTTAAAGGTCCTTTTTCCTGTTCCTTTTTATGGAATCAGTGCATGTGCTTCATTATAAGAAAAAGCCAATGTCACTGCTATGAAATGCATTTTCTTTTGTTGTACCCTCACAACAGCTTTGATGAGTTGGTGTTTGTGTAACGGCTGCAGCATGTCAGCGTGATGATAGAGCTGTGTGTCGGTTCATTTAGGAGACATGTAAAAATCAGAGCAATTCTCTGCTAGTGTTGGTGGGGGAGGCTGGATGAAAACAAAGTCAGGAAATGAGAAGTCAAGAAAACAGAGGAGCCAAAAGGATGGGGAGGGCGTCAACAAAGAGAGGCGAGTGGAGAGGC